TTTTTATGACCAGTCATTATGTTCCGTTGTTAGCCAGACATAGATTGGATTAAAGCATTCTCCATGCACGGTTGCGTTGGCGCACTCTGATTGGCTATTTCTTATCTAAACACCATTAGTCGATACTTAGAGAACACTAGAATCTTCTCATGTGAAAACTATAATATATACTAACGTTTTTCTTATTGTGCTTCTTACTTCCAACTACCCTAGTTACTTGGAATATAATTTCTTTCCTGTCCAACTGTGTTCTGATTTGGGGATTTCTCGAGTGAATCGGTGTCCAAGAATATTAAGCAATAACTCGGTTGTAATAAGAGAGAGTTATAACATCAGTGTTGTTCATTCACCAGAATTTTTGAGTTAAAAATCTTGATTCGTTAATAGTCATCATAAGACTAGTCTATTTAGAATGATTCAGGCGATCATTGAATACAATTTTATACATTTAATCAGCTGTTAGAAATATGATTTAAAAGAAATGAATAAGATTTGATAAAGGGAAATATCGAATGATAATGAACTAAGTATTTTGAATATTAATAATTGACTATGCAAGTGTTTATGGTTGGAAAATGATTAGGTATAATATAAACTACTGAATAGTATTAAACAGTATGGAGTAGAACATAAAAGGGCCGTGACGGAAATAATAAAGACGTGAAGATATTGAACATATAGTATTATCAGTATAGGGTTGTAGAGATTATTAATATCATGAATCGATTGGTTTTAGCTTCGTGAGGGAATTCTCGGAGTTCTAGTGAGAAGCCGTGACCAGTGGAGCTAATCCGTGTCGGGTAGGGACAAGTATCTACCGCAGTACAATGGAAAATGGTTGGGCAATTTCGTGGATTGGTTAAGGTTAGACATTACTGTTATATCCGAGCGAAGATTAAATCACGAGTAACTTCTGAGATAACATCTATGAACAGTTTGGTGTTAAATACCAACAGTTAGAGCTGTTGATCATAGTTCTGTAATCAAGCTAGACTCTAATTGCTAGCTCTACATCATTTGAAGCCCAACTCTTAACTCTAAAACCCCTCGAACATAGCCCCCAATCCTAAAACTGCCTAACGTTAATTTACTAACTTGACCGGTTTATTCCACAAGAAAACCTGTTATATCCGAGCGAAGATTAAATCACGAGTAACTTCTCAGACATATTAATTGACTAGTAGTATCTATACATTCTTATGGTGTAACGATTCAATAATTAGATTGTGTATATTTATAGTCCTCTTATTATAAGCTTTATTTTGACCTATATATTTTTATTGTACGATTTACTGTTCTTAAGCTATGTTCAGTTTATTGACTACTGCCTCCCACATTCACAGCCACCTTTTGGCTTTATTGTGTACAAATGTTATTTTCTACTTTATGGTGCGTTGCGGTCTGTTTGATTGATATATAAACCCAGTATGTCTGAAATAAATGATTCGATTCGCATAGTGGGAGCTGGTATTGGTGTTCTGGACTCAAGTGGACAGGCTATGCGGATATAGGACCAGTAAGGACGCTAGGCTGCTCATACCGTTCGAACGTCATTGGTTTGGTACAGTGCTAAGATTGTATAGGTCGTATTTTGGTTGGTGGATAAATCACGTGATAAGAAGCTGGACATAAAATCATAACAATTACCACCGCTGGATGTCGGCGCAGTGGTCTGGAGGTTAAGTGTTCACGCGCGTGACTGAAGGCCCTGGTTTCGAATCCTGGGAGCGGGACCTTAGATGCACTGCTGCGCAGTTTCGCGATAGGATGAAAGTGTTAGGACCCGAGTTATACCCAGTAGATTAATTATTGCTTGATATGATGGAAAGAAAATTCAATTTTCCATTGATTTACTCATTATGAGTTTTGTTTAACAATACTTCCCTTCTAATTCAATGTGGTGATCATTCAGTGTAGTATTTGATTGTTTTCTCAGTATAATATTTTCTTCTGTATAATAAACGATATTCTTGTATTCACTTGACATGAACTATGCTCAGTAAGTGATTGGTTATAACTGAGTATGTGATTTAATCCTAATTATTAATCAAAATGGGTGTACAATCAATATATAAACCAGTGTATTTTAGACTATTATGATTCGTCGTTATCATAGTGTTTGGGCTAATGTATCTTCACTTATACCAGTCTTGTGTTCTTACTTTCGCATCGTGGGAATTGCCGAGGTCCTTCGTTCCGAGAATAAGCTATCACCGTTGTTCCGGCACAGCAATCAGCGACGACCAGATATAACAGAAACGACCGTCCAATGCTTCCAGGTTTCCAATGCTGGTCTAACATATAGTACTAGTAATTCTTAAAATAAAATAACTAAAGAAGAAGATATTGATAATAAAGTCAGAGGTAATATTAGAGAGAACAGGGATTATTTTTGGTCTTCAACTAGAGAAATACTTTTTATAAGTGAATACGAAAAATATAAAGAGACAATAATTGGTGAGAAATTGTTTCAATCTGTTTATCAGATTAATGAACATAAAGAAAAATTTAATTGTTAATTAGCAATTAAGAGGAAGTTAATAATTAAAAATGGTAATGAATTAATTCACTGATTGATAACGAATGATTTTATTGGTGACCAAGGAATTATTATTATGGCTGCTATTTTGAGATAGTGGTCGGACTTGTCTACTACGATAACTCAGTTGATGATAATACTAAAAACGGTAACTTAGGGCCTGAGAGTGAAGTCTTCTAGATATTTATTTGATGGGGTAAGGATTTTTTTCTTATCACAATTTCGAATTAATTTGAGGCTATTTCCTAATAGATTCTGTTTACACAAAGGTGTTTACTAACTAATAATCTTTCCATTTTTATGTAACTTAAGCAATTTTCTTTTTTTTGTTCCAAAGATCATGTAGTCTAATCGACTGCACAGTGCATAAAGTAACAACAATAGTGAATTTTCATATTTGTTAAATATTTATTGATCAAACTTACTGAGAAACAGGAACAGAAGATAAATGATTTTGTGTTCGTTTAGTGAACGGGAATTCTTGGAAATAATAGAGCAAGAGGTCATAAGTGTATGTTAGAGAGAATCTCTGGAGTTTTTCAAACAAAATACAGACTATTATCCTTTATTCATTGCTTTACAGGATTGAATAATTAAAATCATTTTCAGATTTCTTGATTTTCGATTCTTAAATTCGGATATGTTTAATTATATCTATGTATAGCACTGACGAACGAAGTTATTTTCATTGTTTATGCCTTACATTAGATGGTATTACGTAAAACTCATGAATGTGTAGATGTTAAGCCTTCAAAGAATTTTGGTTTTTATACATTATGTATGAATTTATTAATACGGATAAAACAGCATACTTATAAATGAAGTTTGATTAGTTCAAACAAATATATTTACTTTTAAGAAGTGGCTTACATCAAAGTCACGAAACGTCAATGAATACAGTTTTTCTACTCAATGGGATATTACAAAAAATATATTCATTATGAAGTTCGATTATGTTGGTTAAGTGATTTGAGAGTATCCTTAACTTTTGATCATTCTTCTGTAGATGTATCAAATCATACTGATCCAATGATCAGTGAGACATAGCTAAGAGTGGATTGAAAAAAGATTCTCCAAGCTGTTTAAATATTGGACCATGTCTTATGTTTTTGTGTGATACATTATCTTACTTATTAGTATTCAGTAGTGTATGTTATGTGCAAACATTTATCGGACATATTTCGATTAATTTATATGTCCTGGTTACAGTGAGCTTGTTGTGTCATTTATTTATTTTAGGTCGTTTTCTTAATTGTGATGACATTTTCAAAATCTTTTTATGCTGTTTAGTATCAATTCGTGAGACTATTTGTATTGAAAAGCTTGCCTAACCAAAGGTTCATTCACTTTCGTTAATTGCTATTACTTGTTTGACGCTACAGTTTAATATTCTCTATTGATAGTAAATGTTATAATGTTGTTCGCATCCAAGTTTATACTTTCTTCTTTTTACTTTTTATTGAACTGTTCAACTGAATCATAGATAGTTTCTTCAGTCTTTGTTATTCAGATTATTTTCAGTTTCAGACACTATTCGTCTTGTGATTTCAAAGTTTTGTAGTGTTGGTTGCTATATTAAGCCCATACAGCTTATTCTAGCTTCTGGACAATCCAATTTGTTCATTCTTCTCAAATCACATTTTGACCTTTTTAATTATTCCCTTATCAAAATTGACTTTTTATATGAGCGTATGTGTGTAAATTTCTTATCCTATTCATCGTATGTCTGTAGCTTATTTTTGTTCGACAATAAATATCGATTCACGCTTGGTTAAGTCGAGTTGACTCACATGCCTTCTCCAATGTGCGTCATTTCGCTTCGTTCTCTCTTCTTTACTTCTTTTGCTACGACTCTCTGGTTGCCTGTTCCGATCAATGATTGTACAAAATCACAATTGATTGATCACTGGGTGGTGATCAATGTCATGTGTGTCAAGCCCTTATTTAGTGCAGATCGAATGCTATGGACCATGTTGCAATGTGGCCACCAGTCTAGGTGACTCGACAGGGAGCACCAGTTCCCTCAACATTACGGGTACACCTTGCTGACGGGTGCCAAGTAGCACGAAACCCGGGTCCAGGGTTTCCTGTCGACTACCTCCAACCACCATCTAATTGTACAAAATATACGTACTCGAAATACGTTCTCGTATTTGACTTATTTTAATTCCGTTATTCACTAACGCGTGTTAAGTTGACAATTATATACGAGGACAGCTGGGATGTATATTTTGACAACAATCATTGATACCATCTAATTGGAGCCAGATATATGGCCAATAAAGTGATGAGCCCACCGATAACATCGTCCGATTTAATTGACGTCAAAATAAGGGGACCCACTAAAGTTTTATGAATCATACGATTTTTACTCTAGAATACTTAAATGTATATTATACAGACAAGCCTTCTCTACAGTTATCAAAAAAACTAAAAGAATGGAATAAATGTACAATTCCATTTAATTTAAACAAATGTAAAATATTATGATTGGAATAATAAAATTCATAACAAGTAGAATCTTTAATAAGTCTTTAAAGTAACCATTTACAATAGACAAAGATGATGATGAGGTTGAAGCAGCTGAGCATAAACCTTGTTTGTCATTCGATAAAATATTCTTTTGTATATTTGGATCATAATTATTTGGATCTGATTTTGATAAAAATGATGAATTTTGTATTAGTGATGGGATAAGACCAGAATTATTTGTGAACCAAAATGTTTGAAATCGATTAACATATGGATCAGCTGTATTTTTTTTAAAGAAAGAAAGAAAGAACGTAGTCAAGATAACACCTACTATTAAAAAAGTAACAGTTAAAAGAATATTATTATTTGTTTGGATTGTGAGTACGATGGGGAAACATCTTCAATTTGTCATCTTCAGTCAATAATCGTTAATACTATATGATGAAATGCGTGTTTCATTCAGTTTAGAAATATCCACACGTATATATTCAAAGTAATCATTCGTGTTTTCTTTAATTGTTAGATAATTTCTGAAATGAATTCATTGTTATCTACCTAAACAATTTTTTCCAGATCAAGAGGTTTGTAGGAGTTAGTTTAGTTTACAGATGACTCCCTTTACAAACTAATGTTAGTTAGTGAACTGGTAAGAAGAGGAGAGCACTAAATAGCTAATTTTTCATAGACAGAACAGAGATCTGATATCTAATCAGGAACTTTCAAGTTCAACAACATGAGCGTAACTTTCAGACCAGTGGTTCAAATTCACTACACAGCACAAAATTTATTAATGAGGAACTATAGATGTGTTTGAGGTTCTTCAGTTACAAATTCTCAGTGATCAGTCAGTGTTCATGTTTCGCACCTACATGCAGTCAGTTATAGTTCAAATAGCTCAGTGGTTTCGGTTCGAACTGCAACATTGAATAAATCAGTTCCCTCAAAGTTGCAGATACATCTTACTGACAAGTGCTAAGTAGCACAAGATTCAGACCCATGGCTTATTTTCGATTGTCATTAACACAAAGTCTCAAAAAAGCAGAGAATTATTTTAGTTATAGTAGCTGAGAGAAAAACAAACTAAACGAAAAAGTATTAAACATGCTACGTTTTTTAAATACTTGTGATGAAGCCATACACTTGATCTGAATTCTCAGAAAAAATCAGATGAAAAACTTACATAGCAATCCAGTGAAATCTCCATTCACGATTCCCAATCGCATGTTTCTTGAATGGCAGACACTAGGTTGAGCTAGGAAAGAAAACAAAATAACTAATTGAAAAAGCACTCATCAAGTTATGATATCCCGTTTATTAATATGATATTTTTGTCGTTAATGTCAATAGTTTCTTGATTACATCATTAATTAATTCCCAAACAGCTTTTCTTCCTATTGAATTGATTCAGTAATAGCGTTCATAATAAGAAAGCTCTTTTGTATTCAGAGTTTGAGAGTTTACATTTCAACTCCGAACAGAATTATATAATCCATCTGATCTATTGACACAATGACATAAATGTTTCAACACTAACAACTGATACCCACTTAGCTTTCATAACTCATTGTTGCATAACACTAAGTACAATGTCTTCCCTTAATTTAGACTTCAGCAGAAATATAACATACTATCATATAGCACTTCCTGATTTATATTATTTCTCTAGTTAGTGTCGCTTTGTAGGGAAACCTGTCTTCGGACTTAACACATCTACAATTACTTGATTTAAGTCTCTGTAGAAACATAAACTCTAGTAAAAGACGTAGAAATCTATCTGATTAGATCCTCCCAGATAATATTCAAATCTTTATTTGAGAAGATTGTACAAATTTAAGCTTAATTTGCTTTTCGTTAATAATTATCATCAAAGTGAGGGACCAGTAAAAATCAGGAATCACTGAACAGCTAGTTCACCTTAGTATGGGACATCTCAGTGGAGTACATCCATGACCATTGCTGGCATTTAATCAATAGTATTCAGATATATGAGTTTTACTCCAATGTATTACATAAATGATTTCATTCATTTCATAGAGCTAAACATTACTCAATCTTATCGGTAGATATTTATTTCACTTTCAACATGTTTAAATAACACTAATCATGACTTCTTACTAAGAACTTCAGCAATTCATCTTAATATCAGTTTCCATTAAGCATACAATTACTGTTCAAGATGATTTTCATCATCAATTAATATCAACCAAAAAATCATTGAAATATTTCAATTCAAAGTTATTGATCTGTAGATAAATTACATAGATGATTCAAAATTAGTATAACTTTGTCAAGTTTTATTCTTTATTTTCAACGGAACATATTCATACACATAGTTCCCTTTATCATTTTAAAAAGAGCAAGAACAAACATTCTAGCGGAATAGCATGAATTCATTTTTATTTCGTTGGTTCTCGTCAGCTGCTTGCAGCCTGTGATATTTAAAATCATAATTACATAATGGGTTTAAATTACTTACATGAGAGGGTTTAGTTGGAAGTTATATTGAAAATATATTCGTATAGTATATCAAGGGTGTAAATAAATTTAATAAGCTGAATATTGTAAATATATACCTTATGTAAAAGAACATTCTACAACATTGATTGTGACAACAGTTCAAACAACCAGAAACAAGTGATTACATAATGAGCAACCGCTGATCGGAATGAAATGAGTAGAGTTCAGTTGATAAAACAAGATTATTAATTTGGAAGGATAGTTGAAATAAAACTCAATGATGTTGTAACAAATGCAAGAAAGAGTTTAAAGAAAAAGGAAAAACATAATGTATTAAGATACAGAGAAGCAATAATATTCAATCTTAATAATCCATAATAAAATATACACAACACAGAGAATAATACTAGTCGCCTCATTTTCTATTTCAGGTTAAGGTATATGTAGAGAGAAAGAGAAAGAAGTGAAAAAAAACATTATTAAGTTATCCATAGGATCAAGGCAAAATAAATAAATCAGTTTCATTTTCATACAGAAGGAAAAAAGGGCCAAAACAACAGTTTGTTAATTTAAATATTAAATAACAAAGAAAAACATAATTTTAACAATAGATAATAAAGATTAGACATAATCAAATAGAAGTAGGTTAGATTTTAGGAGTTAACTATTATGTAATTAGTTTACATGACTTAATGAATGTAAACATTTCCATATAACATAATTTGATCATATCTATCTATCTAACTCTCCCTCCCTCCATCCCTCCCTCTCTCCCTCTCTCTTTATATATATATATATATATATACAGAGAGAGAGGGAGGGAGAGAAAGGAAGGATTATTTAGTGGTAAAAGATAATGACTAAAAGCGGACTTTTACAAGTAACCATATTAACAATGATATTATCAAGGTTAAGTAATATATATTATGTTAAGAATGGTTCATTATAAATCTTATTGTTATACCCTAGCGAAGATTAAATTACGAGTAACTTCTGAGAACTATGAATGGACTAATATTTTCTATATATTCTTATGGTATAACTATTCAATAATTGGTTTATGTATATCTATATTCATCTTACTATAAGCTTCATTTTGACTTATAGATTATTATTATACGATTTACTGTTCAGTTTATTGATTATAGTCTCTCACGATCATAGCTACTTTTGACTTTATTTTGTATAAATGTTATTTCTTATTTTATGGTGTGATGCAGTCTGTTTGGCTGGTATATAAACCAAGTATTTCTGAAATAAATAATTCGCATTGTGGAAGCTGTTATTGATGTTCTGAACTCAACTGGCTGGGCTAGACAGGAAGCAGGACCAACAAGCACGCTAGGCTGATCAGACCGGTCGAATATCATTGGTTTAGTACAGTACAAGAGTACGTTGTATTTCGATTGACGAATAAATTACATGACAACAAACCGGACCTAAAGTCTGTATTGATTAATTCCGTCAGTTACCCAAACATTAAAACCTATACTTTAGTACGATCATCATGAAGTATTAGATGAGTATTTTTAAAAACAAATGATTCATATCCAAAAGACTATGCAGTTTATAATCGATTAAATAAAAAAATATTCTAATATGCAATTCATAATTTCATACTAAGACAAGTAAAATCAACGGTTTAAAGTTTATTGTAAATTAATTTAGATCATAACATATCGATTGAAATACAGAAGTTCCAAACCATTAACTAATAAAGTGCTTTGACAAGATTAAAGGTTTAAGTGCAAAATGAAGTTTCAAAGTAATTTAAATCAAATGAAATAATCATATAGAAAAGTGTTTAAAATCAGCAATAATTTCAAAATAATACGGATTTAATGGAAAATCTCTAAATTAAAAAACAAAGTCTCCGAGAAACGAAAAAAATTATCAAGAGAGCAAAAACAAATAAAGGAAATTACATAAAAAGGAATAGCCAGAAAATGACGGGTTAAAATAAGGTAATTTTGAGAACCTCGAGTACAAAGAGCGCTCCACCAACGTCAACCAGTGCAAATTACATCACTCACTTCAGTCCACAACCAACACAGCGCAGAAGTACCTGCTGTCGTCCGACAACACTCGAGCAATCGACGTCTCAGTCCAACAACAGCTGCCGAAAACATTACTCACTCATGCATGATTTCATGCACACAATCACACTCATTAACTCACTCACTCACTCACTCACACACACATACACACAAACACGATGCATCTGACACCTCTTCACCAGTCAGTCTTTACCATGATATTTGTCGGAAAACACGTCACCACTAGTCGAGTTGTTGTGTCGACGCTGACACTACTCCGATCGACAGTAGCACTGTGATGCATGGACGACCCTTAAACGATACTCAAGTGACCTTGAGAATGTCCACCTACTTACTAGGGTTAAATGGGGTTTGTAGATTAGTGTGAAGCATTAGGATGAGGATTTACATTTGGGCAGTAGGGTTGGGAATTAGAGTCAGGGTTTTCATCACGAACTGACATCAGTTCGTGTGGTATAATGCAGTTTAGACATGTGGATGAATGAATTTCGTGCTGAAATCCAAGACCTGAAGTCTTAAATCGGATTGGTTCGTCCATAAATTATAGTCTCGCCGCATCGACTTCATCTCCAGTGGATAGTTCGTGTCAGCATGAGTCACGAGCTATGCATTCGACCGATCTCAGTGGTGTTTGGCTCACCACACACAAGACACGATTGACCGAAGCTGAACGATGAAGTTTCCACGAACAATTATATAAATATAAATATAATTATATATATATATATATATATATGCATATATTTGGAGTCGAAGATGCATGGA